AGAGAGAGAGAGAGAGAGAGAGAGAGAGAGAGAGAGAGAGAGAGAGAGAGAGAGATGAGCGATACAAGTTTGGCTGTTACGTACCTGTGAAGTGCGCCGCGCAGTTCCACGAAGGAGGGACAGAGAGTGGACAGAGGGAGAGAAGCCATAGCCGAGGGGAGGAAGAGAAAGAGATGATAAAAAAAAAAGAAAAAAAAAAAAAAAGAAAGAAGACAGTCAGGGTGAAGAAGGAAGAGGCGAGGTAGAAGGAAGGTGAAGGGTGGTGACGAAGTTGAAGCCGGCCGCCATAGCCGGGGAGTTGACCGGTGGCGTTGACCAAGTTTGACCGGCGTTGACCGGGGGTTGACCGAGGGTTGACTGGAGCGTTGACCGAGCATTGACCAAGCGTTGACCGAGCGTTGACCGAGCGTTGACCGAGCGTTGACCGAGCGTTGACCGAGCGTTGACCGAGCGTTGACCAAGGCGTTGACCAAGATTTTGACCAAGCTGGAGCCGGTATAATCTCGCCAAGCCTTCAGCCTATCCCTCGCCCTATGGATGTGCACACACCTTGTGGTACTTGCTGAGTCCAGTCTGTCTCTCTTCACATTGAGTTTCTTCTGTCTAGGTGATAGTACTCTGTGGATGAAGGATAGGCCTTGTTGACCAAACCCCTGCCGGACGTAGTAGGGCTAAAGACTGTGTCTGACGACTCGACTGTCTCGGAGGCCTAACCCTCCCAAGGACCGGTACAGACCGGCGGGCTGCTCGGTGTGGCACGGTAGGCCCGAAAGGCGGAGTTGTGGGCTGCGCAACAGGCAGTCTAAGTGTTGAGAGACATGCTGATCGCGTCGTCCTGTTTGCGACTTTAAATAATTCCCGAGGAGTTACGGGGGATCTCCTTAAATGCCTCCTGATCAACAACAGGTCTAGTAGTGACAGCCATAGTGTAGGTCTAGGCTAGAGACCCTAGTTGGTAGGATCCTTGTCTGGATTCTGTGAGTCTTAGATTGAGTCAGTCAGTTGTCAGTCAGGGGTTAATCTGCGTGGTGAGGTTTGGAACCGTTAATTCGGTTGTGCACTAATCACCATGGTTGAGACCCGTAGTGGGAAGAGCACTAGCCCCTACACCCAGGAACAACAAGAGAAGATGGCCGCCTTAGTGAGAGAGAACAAGGAGAGGAAAGAGCTCCTGAAACAGGCTAAGTTGAAGACAATCGCAGAGGAGCAGGCGGCGAAGATGAAAAAGTTGGAAGAAGAGATGGAGGAGAAGAAAAAGGCTGCCGAAGAAGAAGCAGCAGCAGAAGCAGAGGAGGATAGGAAATGCAGGGAAGAAAAAGGGGAGAGTAATGGCACGGCAAAGGAGGATGCCGCGATGGAAAAGAAGATCAGCGAGTCGATTGCTAATTTATCGTTGGGGGAAGATGAGGAGGCAGAGTTTTATGTGCCCCAGGACGAGAGGGATGCGTTAGCAAGTGAGCTAGCGACCCTCTGGAACGACGAGAAAGAGAAGAAGAGAAGAAGTTGGAGTGGAAACTGAGGATGAAGAGGGAAAAGAAGAGAAGGAGGGACGAAGTTAATAGGCTGACCGAGGAGGTGGCAAAGGTAAGAGATTGTCGACAAGAGGTCAAGGCGCAGCCAGACATCTCTGCCAAAATGGACAAGATGTTGGGATATCTGGAAGCATCGAGTGCGGCCTGGATGGAGGAGCGCCAAGCCAATAAGGGTCAGGATGTGGCCCTGAGTGCCATGCGGTCAGGATTTAGAGACTTTGCGCGCGATATGGTCACCCACGTTGGAGGCGAAGTTAGGCGACTGAGAGACAGCGTGGGGAAGTTCTGCGAGGGCGCCATAGAAGGTGCCAAAGCAATAGCCGCTGTAGAGGGTGAGGCCAGGCCTCGTAAAGATCCCGTCAAGCGTAAGTTCCTAGACGCATATGGCGGGAAGAAGGAGGATAATTTTGATAACTGGGAGGCGAGCGTGAATAGCTACGTGTACTTACAACACATCCTGACTGAGGAGCAAGTCCTCGTCGCCTTCCAGGCCCTCAAGGATGAAGCGGCTAGTTTTGCTAGATCCCTTGCGCGCGCAGCCGGTTGTGAAACAACCTGGTTGCATACTCCAAGATCACCCCCCTCCCTCACTTCTTCAAGCTCCTGAGGGAGCGATTTGCTGACCCAACGAGAGGCGTTAGAGCCTCTGACAAGTTACAGACCATCCACTCACGACAGTGGAGGAGTGCCAGGGCACTCAAGGGCGTTATGGACGACTTGGTAGCCGTCCCAGACCATGGGGTCACTGAGCCCCAGTTGGTCCAGTTATTTTACCGTGCCATGCCAGAGCCCCTGCGTGGGCATTTCTTTGATAGATCTCAACAGACCGACATCACATATGATGTGCTGAGTAGAGAGGTGGTCCTGCTTGAGTCAAAGTCCATGCCAATATCCACTTTCTGGCACAAGGACTTGGATAAGGGAAATAAGTGGAAGGGTCGTACCATCTCTGGCCAAGTTAGGTCCAAGGATCACATGATCCTTACTTTAGAAGAAGGTGGTACAGATGAAGTCCCCTACAGTGAGACTGAGTGGGGGTTAGAGGAGGAGGACAACAACGTAGGGCAGAGGAGGTCCTATGCGGCTGTCGCGGCTGGAGGGAGGCCGCAAGGTAGAGGAGGAGGCCAGGGCCAAAGGGGCCAGGCAATGGGAGGCCGAGGACCGGGCGCACAGGGGGTTGGCGGACAAGGGAACCGCCAAGTGGGAGGTAGGGGTCAAGGTCCCCCGCCAAATCGTCAAGGTTCTTGTCGGTCCCCGCAGGGACGAGGTGGAAGGCCACCCCAAGGAGGATGGCACCCAAGCTTGCCGCAGGGCAGGCCCTGGGAAGATTTGGGTTTGGACCAGCGCGTATGGCAGGAACACGTGGACTTGGGTCAGTGCGTGTTTTATGGCGACCCGGCCCATGTAATCAAATTTTGTCCTAAGCACAGACAGGCCCGATGGGCTGCTCAGTAGTTAAAAGGCAGCCGCCAGTAGGGGTCGCAACTGCCCCTACTTCAAGGCCATGTAGGGAAGTGAGCGTGCGCGAACAGGAAACTCCCAAACCACATGAGCCTATGGCAGAGGTTGCAGGCCCGTGCCTAGCTAGCTGTCCGGAGACCGCTTGTGTTAGCGTCTCTCTAGGCACGTCCCTCATAGGCGTGGCAAAAGAGTTGAAGGAGAGGATGCCTGCCTGGGCCAGAATGAAGAAGGAGAGTAAGGGACAATTGATTTTGGTTGACGTAGAAGTCTTTAAGAGTAGAGTAGGAGCCCTCATAGATTCAGGGGCTACCCGTAGTTATATTAGCCATAGAGCGCTGAAGAAGCTGAGGCTAGGATTGGAAGTCCAAAAGTTGGCAGACCCTATAGTCAGTGTCCTCGCAGACAACCGCACTATGCGCGTTGAGGACGACGTAGAGGGAGTCCAGGCGTACTTTCGCCTAGAGAAAGATGGGAAGGTGGAGAAAGTTTTCCATTCCCTGACTCTCCTCGTGCAGGATGACCTTCCTTTCGACATGGTGTTAGGAATGGATTGGGGAGAGGCAGCAAGGGCCACACTCCATTTGAGAGAACACGAGTGTAGGCTCCCTAGTCCGTCAGGTGAGGTTAAGACTGCCCGCCTGTTCCATGTGTCGGGTGTAGACAACACTCTGGCACATTGTTGTCTCAGTGCTCCCGCGTTCGCGCGACTAGTGAAAAAGGAGAAGTTAGATGAGGAGGTCTTTGTAGTGTATGTTAGACCTGTCACTGAGCCTAAGGAAGAAGCTAGCTCCATGGATCCAGCCATCGCCAAGCTGCTGGAAGAGTTTAAAGACTTGTCTGAGCCGCCGAGAAGAGTAGTGCTGCGGCCAATCCAGCATAGGATAGAGATAGAGTCTGGCAATAGAACTCCTAAGGGAGCAATCTACAGGATGTCCCCTAGAGAGTTAGAGGAGCTGCGCAAGCAGTTGGACGAGCTCCTTGAGAAAGGTTGGATCAGGCCCAGTTCATCTCCTTTTGGAGCACCTGTCTTGTTTGTCCCCAAGAAGGAAGGAGAGCTGAGAATGTGTATAGACTACAGGGGTTTGAATGCTATTACAGTGAAGAATGCTGAGCCGCTGCCCAGGATAGACGATCTCTTAGATCGGGTGCAAGGTTGTAAGTACTTTTCAAAGATAGATCTGAAGTCCGATTATCATCAGATAGAGGTCCATCCTGATGATCAGTACAAGACTGCCTTCCGGACTCGATATGGGCATTATGAGTTTATAGTGATGCCCTTTGGACTGACCAACGCATTCTAGTATTCAGTAGGACCCTCCTGGAGCATCAGGGTCATCTGAGGCAAAAGTTGAGAGAGTCAAACTTCAAGATCAACGCGAAGAAGTGCGAGTGGGCCAAGACACAAGTTTTGTACTTGGGCCACGTATTAGACGGAGATGGGATCAAACCTGAGGACAGCAAGATAGCGGCAATTAGAGACTGGCCGACGCCCCGCACATTGACAGAGTTGCGGTCGTTTCTGGGCCTAGCTAACTACTATAGAAAGTTCGTGAGGAACTTTTCTACTATCGCCGCTCCCTTGCGCAGGTTGCTTAAGAAAGAGGCAATCTGGCGATGGGACAAAGATTATACGTCCGCGCTCAAGAGACTGAAGCGCGCATTAATAGAGTACCCTGTCCTCAAAGTGTCAGATCCATCTTTGCCATTTGTCGTCACCACGGACGCGAGTCAATATGGGATAGGCGCCGTGTTACAGCAGGACGACGACAATGGCTACAGACCCGTAGAGTTCATGTCAGCAAGGATGCCCTCTGAGAAGGTTGCTACCTCGATGTACGAAAGAGAACTCTACGCTCTCAGGCAGGCTTTAGAGCATTGGAAGCATCATCTGCTTGGGAGGCACTTCAAAGTGTATTCTGACCATGAAACGCTTCGATGGTTAAAGACTCAGGCCAAGATGACACCTAAGTTGACTAGGTGGGCCGCTGAGATAGACCAATATGACTTTGAGCTTAAGCCCGTCAAAGGCAAGTATAACGTAGTTGCGGATGCTCTGAGTAGGAGATCAGACTACTTTGGAGTTATAGTACACTATCTGGATATAGGGAGAGACCTGCAGCAGAAAGTGAGGCAAGCGTATGCGCAGGACCCTATCTATAGTGACCTCCTAAAGAAAGTTAGAAAGGCCCCAGAGACTGAGCCAGATTACCGCACTACAGAGGGTTTGCTATTCGAGAAGACTAATGTATTCGACCGTCTATGCGTTCCCAACAGCGAGGAGATCCGTAGTCTGATCCTAGGGGAATGCCATGACACGGAGGGGCACTTCGGTTGGCAAAAGACATTAGCCAATCTGATGCATGCGTATACCTGGCCAGGGATGAAGAATGACTGCACAGAGTATGTTCGCAGTTGTAAAGTGTGCCAGAGGAATAAGACTACTACGCGCGCGCCCTTAGGTCTTCTCAGACCACTGCCTATTCCTGATCAGCCTGGAGACTCCGTGTCCATAGACTTCATGGATACTCAGGTCAAGAGTAGGCATGGCAAGAGCCAAGTCATGGTCATAGTTGACCGTTTTAGCAAGTATGCTGTTTTTATTCCTTTGCCTGCAGAGGCACGTACCGAATTACTCATTCAGAAGTTCTTTGATTTTTGGGTCAGTGAACATGGAGTCCCGTTGTCTATAGTTAGCGATAGAGATAGCCGCTTCACTAGCCAGAACTGGCAGGAACTCATAAGAGTCTATGGGTCAAAGTTGCTGATGTCGTCTGGCCGCCATCCATAAACTAACGGTCAGATTGAGCAGCAAGATCCTGCGGCAAGTTCTGCGCATGTACATTAGACCAGATCAGATCAACTGGCACGAGATGTTACCCAAGGTAGCTAGTGCTTATAACAACAGCGTGCATCCGTCTACCTGTCGCACTCCCAATGAGTTGCACAAGTCCTTTAGACCGCGCAGACCGTTTGAAGGGCTGAACTGGGATCAGATTCACAGGCTACCGCCCGGTACCAGGGAGTTCGCGATACAACACGAGAAAGAGATAGCAACTGTTGTTGAGAACCTCAGGAAGGCCCAGCACCGCATGATAGAACAGGCTAATAAGCACCACCACTTTCATCGGCGAACAACCGAACCCTTGGAACCTCGACCTTCCACAATTACTGATGGGGTAAGACTATGCCTTCACCATATTCACTACAGTCACCTGTAAGAACTTTGGTCGAATCATGAAGGTAGTCTCTTATTATGGTGTTGGATCCTGAGTCTTTATGGTTTTGTCTTTTGTTTTCGAACTCGCAACGAAGTTGCCTTGACTGGTGCCCCTCTTATGATTCACAAATGGATTGCTTTATTTTTCTCTGTTTTTTTATGTTTAACCTCCAATCCTTTTCTTCGAATTTCCTTTTTAAGCACTGATTCGGGAAAAGAATTCAACCCTGTATCGCCCATCACAGTTTCAGGTAGGCGACCTGGTCTGGGTCAAGTCGAAAGAGTTTGCACCTGAGGAGAACATCTCGCAGAAGTTACTGCCCGCGTATAGAGGACCGTGGCCAGTTCTAGAAGTTAAGGGCGGAGAAGATGGACCGTCCTACACTATAGAGATCCCAGCACACCTCCACACCTACCCCGTTTTTCACGCATCAAAGCTGCTGCCGTGTGTCACCAGTCAGGAATTTCCATCTAGGCGGTCCATGATCCCACCTGACATGGATGGTAGATATGACATTGACGGCATTGTAGATGAAGATGTATTCAGGACAGGAGGCAGAGGCCGTCCCCAGAAACAGTGCAAAGTCCGGTTTGCTTATCAGGAACCGGAGGATGACCGCTGGTTCACAAGATCAGAACTTCTAGAAACAGCTCCCGATGTTGTTAGAGCCTATGAGCGAGATCAGAGAGGTAAAGGTCCTGCCTTAGCCTGAACTATTCTCGGAGGACCTCGAATTTAGGACGGCAGGAGTGAAATGGTATTCACCAGTTCACAGTAGCTGATGCAGACCCCAGGGCTCGATCCCTAGCCCCCACCTTACCTGTGTACAGTACCTGTGTCGACCCGTAGAGTTGAACCCGCGGCCTGTGTATTTGTAACAGCTGATAGGTTGTCGTAGGGTCCATAGGTAGCATGGGTTCGATCTGTAGACCTGTCAGATAGGAGTCTTAGTCAGGTCTAGACGTCGTAGCTGTAGCTTTCTCGAAAGGTCAAGGTCGTAGCTGCTACAGTCCAGAAGGGTCAGAGTCGTAGCTGCTAAAGGCCAAGTCTACGGCCTTCCGGAAGGTCCCAGTAGTGGCCTTTCGAAGTTGCCCATGTTTAGGCAGAGGCAAGTGGCCAAGTGGTGACGCAAGTGGGCAAGTGGTGGAAGTCTACCGTGCTGAGTCAACAGTCCCAGTCCAGAGTCAGTCAAGCAAGTACCGCATGGGACTGTGTGCACTTCGGGCATGGGAAAAGGGSCAGAACAACAAGCTGCAGAAGTATAAATCAAGAGGCAGCGCCCAGCCATTCATTCATTCCTGCGTGAGCCATGTGGAAGTGCTGCCACAGYGACTTGYGCAAGGAGGTCTGCAGTGAGCCCGAGGATGAAGTGGGCAAGGAAGACGAASTGTAGCCATAGCGATAGGGTAGAGGCAGCCACAGCTGCCATAGCTGTAGTTTAGCGTTCAGTGTGTGTGTGTGTGAGTGTTCAGAGRGACGCGTGTGGGATATCCAGGGTGATCYGGTGCATGCGAACAGAGAGTTGTTTGGGCGCTGAGTCGCCATAGCCATTGGAAGTGAACTCGTATCTGGGTTGCCATATCTCTGAGTTTTGAGTGGGCGCATGTCGCCAGTTTGCTGCGCTACTGTTTGCATGCAAGTAAAGTGTGA